GGCCCAATCTTGCATCCAAGACGGCCCAAGACGGTCGAAGATGGCCTCCAGGATGGCCCCAGACGGCTCCAAGACGACTCAGGTGTCCCCAAGACGGCCCAATGGGGCTTACAAGACGCCCTGAGAGGCCTTCAAAAGGAACCCCCAACTGGGCGCCTAGAAGCAATCATCATTGACGTCCGATGCGTTTCAGTGATATCGGCGTTCTAGCCCTTGAGGACATCCGACAGCCTCAGACGGCCTACGAGGCCTTCAAGACGGCGCCAAGACGGTCCAAGAGGTCCCAAAGAAAGCCCTGAGACGGTCCAAGATTGCCTCGTACGGCCTCCAAAACGGTCCCAGATGTCCTTTAAGACGGCCAAGGTGGGTCCAGATGGCACCAATACGGCCCAAGATGGTTCCATGACAATCCCAAATGGCCTAAAGAGGCGATCCAGAGGTCCCACATCCTTGTCCCCCTCTTCCGCTTCCCTCCTCCTCCTCCTCCTCCTCCTCCTCCTCCTTCTCCATCTCCTGCCACCTCCCCTCTTCCTTCCCCGACTGTTTCCACGATGGCTTGACCAAGCTTTGGTCCAACGTTTGGCCGCATCGGCTTTTCCAGAAAGCCATGGAGCGGCGGTGACTTACCGGAGGTGCCTTCGATACTAGCCAGAGTTTGATTGAATGCAGCCTCGTCCTCCGCCTTGAACGTGGGGGGTGGTGCATCCTGACGATCAACTCCCTCGTCCGCCGCTACCCCAAACCCCTGTGAGTACTGACTGGGCGACAATGCAGAAGTGTGCGGCGCACCGACGAGGAGCGCAGCCAGGGTCATGGACAAACCAACCATCGCGCAGGCAGGCAATATGGAAGTGTCTGGTTCTGCAGCGGCTCGGCGATCCTGAAGCCAGGTGCCGAGCCTGCTTGAGCCAATGCGGTCGGGACTCTTCTGACCCAGGTAAATCCAGACCCGGGTCAGCAGGAAACCGAAAACTGCAATGCAGGAACACAAAAAAGCTGCAACGCAGGTCTTCGCAAACCTGGGCCGGCCAACATGTGCGACCGCTCCGCGGCCACGAGCGGCTCGCTGACCCGGGTCAGCCAGAGGGGGTCTTCGCAGGCTCCTGCAGGATCCGGTGCCGTGGCTGACCCCCGTTTGCATTGACCCCCGTCTCAGGGCTCCCGACGTGGCGCGGCCCCCAGATCTCCGGCGTCGTGTCTTTCTCAAGACGTGGGCCCCGGGGCCCCAGAGACCGGCGCAACGGCGCGGACCAAGTCCCGACTGCGGGCCTCCTGGGCGCCGAGCCCGTGATACGACACAGGGGCGCACCGATCCCATCCGATACGCGCGGTGACATCAGGGGGCACGCAATACGATCCTCATGCCGAATGTTGCACACCACGATGGAGGAGATAAGATGTTTGAATTCATGTGTGTTCTTTGTTTTGGCTCCAACTTTGAGTGGGGACGCCTGGGGTCGTCCAGGGTCAGGATCTGGGGCGGCATTAAGACGTACTACTTCCAACTGAAGGTGTTCAGAAAGCTGGTGGCGCTAACGCCTCAGGAAATCGGAGAGTGGCGGCACTTCAACGTCCATCCCCTTCACACCCTGGGGACTCGGAGCGCAAGCTGGGGGAGGAGGTCCAGGTCAGGGCTTGATCCGTAACCGCAGGTTTGGGCATGGATATTCCCCGCCTTCCGGCAGCGGGAGGGTGTACATACCCAACGCCACCCAAGATCCTCGAACCCATATTTCTAAACCAGTATGGATAAATCCCAGGGGTACGTGTGTAGGAGGAGGGGCGGGGGGACGCGGAAGGGGAAGGAGGAGGAGAGATGCTGGTTCGGGACGATTCAATCAGCCTCGCCCGGGCGGGACGCTCACAGTGTGCGGTCTGCAGACTGGGATCACGACTGGCACGAGCAAGGCTTTTTCACGGCAGCCTCCTCCGATCAGCTGCCCGGAAGAAGCAGGGAGGACGCAGGAGATGGGAAGGCGGTCAGAGTAGAGTGGGCGTTCGCCCGCCCGCAGACAAGGAAAGCAGCGTGACGTCACCTCGGCTGCTGCAGCAGGAGGGCGCGTAGCGTATACCGCATACAGGGGGCACGCGCATCCGACCATGCAGACCTTCCACGAACGGCCCGTAGCCTCCCTCCTGATGCAGGTACATTCCACTGGGCCCCCCCCAGGGACGAGGCACACAGCTGATGGGCCTGTCTTCCACCACCACCACCATAAGTTGGAGGGGGGAAGGAGGAGGAGGAGGAGGAGGAGGAGGTGGAGGAGGAGGAGGACCCCCTCCCCCTCCAACTTATGGTGGTAGTGGTGGAAAACAGGCCCATCAACAGCGGCGGCAGCACCCAAGTGGGCCGTGCCCTGCTATGCGCCTGCCTGCGAGGGGCGCTCCGCTGGCTGGGCCTGCCAGAGGCGCAGCAGAGCAGCGACCGTCGCACGGCTGGTCCCGCGGCTTGGGTCTGCGTGCTGGTGGAGGGGCGGGGAAAGCACACCGCTGGACCTCCCTGGGGACGAAGCGCAGCGGCGACAGCTGCAGGCTGGCAGCACCAGGAGTGGGGGGGACCCAGTCGGGGGGGCCTCGTGGAGGAGGCACTCCGCGGGGGACGCAGCAGCGTTGTCACAATCACAGTTAACCCGTCTACGAATGACGCACGATAAGGATGCAAGGGCCTTGAAAGGCCGTGCCGACACTCTGCGAGCGGGGCGCGGCCAACGAAAGCGGCCAAGGACGGGCCGAAGGGGAAGGATGCAAGGGGAACCTTGGAAAGTCGCTCATCCTTACTATATTGGTTGACTGTAGGTGTTGCATCATTGCTGGCAGCACCCTTAGGGAAGGACGGTGAGGTATACAGACATCGTGCTACCACAGGGTGGTTGAAGGAACGAAAGGGCTTTTCTGGCCACGGCGAGCCTCGGCCACGACGAGCTCTCCCAGCCCAGTTGCAAGGAACGGCCCGAAAACCAGAGCCCCTTCTTGCCCTGAAGTGGCCCTTCCGCTCTCACTTCAACGCCTCGACTGTGATCTGGGTGCGCGGGGCGGGGTGGGGATCGGGGGTGTTCCCAGCAACCCACGGGAGAAGGGCGTCGGGGGCCCCGGTTGGGCCCGCTCGGGGCGGGGGGCACACCCGCGGGACCTCCCGGGAGGCACGTGCAGCGCAGGCAGCGGCAACTGCCGCGGCCCGCCACGACCAGGGGGAGGGCGCCCTGCCCTCGGGGCCTGCGCGGACCTCCCAGGGGGCCGAGGCACGATGGCGACAGCTGCGCGGCTGGCAGCACCACTGGCCATCGCTCGGACGTCCATTTCGTGTGCTGTGTTTCGGTTTCGTGCGTGGCTTTTTCGCCAAATGATCCAGGATGCTCCTCGATGGTCCTCGCCGAAGGAAAGATGCACACGCCCGAGCGATGCCAAGACCGGTGTGGAAGGGAGGGGAGCGGGGGCGAGGCCTAGGCTTGAGCCCGCGGGGGGGGGGGGGGCGCGCTCGCCGGACCTCCGAGGAACGCAGCACCTCGGCGGCAGCTGCACGGCCGGCGGCGCCAGGGGAGAGGTGGAGAGGGGGGGGCCACGGCGGGGCAACCAACGCCGCGGCCGAATTCTCGCGCCGCACGCTTCGTGGGCCCTCGGCCCCGGCGCTCACCCAGCGAGGTGGTAAACATGCGCGTCAGCGCAAGTAGATAAATCTGTCTCCTCCTCCTCCTCCTCCTCCTCCTCCTCCTCATCATCATCATCATCATCACAATCATCACCTCCACCAACCACCACCAGCACAACCAGCACAACCAGCACCAGCATAATCATTTACTTCATCAGCATCGTCACCATCAACAAGCTCATCATCATCATCACCATCAGCATCCTCATCATCGCCATCATCAGCGGCATCAGCATCATCATCATCATCATCAGCATCATCATCACCACCAGCATCATCGTCATCATCATCATCATCATCATCACCATCACCACCACCACCATCATCATCATCATCATCATCATCATCAGCAGCATCATCATTACCACCACCACCACCTTCACAATCATCTGTATCAACAGCAGCAGCATCATAATAAACAACATCATCAGAATCATCACCATCACCAGCATCATCATCATCAGCAGCAGCGTCATCGTAATCAGCATCATCATGACCATCATCATCATCATCATCATCATCATCAGCATCGCCATCGTCATCATCATCGTCATCATCATCACCATCAGCATCAGCATCACAATTATCATCACAATCATCAACATCACCATCAACAGCATCAGCATCATCGTCATCATCGTCATCATCAGCATCCTCATCATCACCATCATCATCAACATCATCATCATCGTCCTCCTCAGATTCCTCTTCTTTTCCTCCTCCTCCTCCTCCTCGTCCCCCTCCACCTTCTCCTCCTCCTCCTCCTCCTCCTCCTCCTCCTCCTCCTCCTCCTCTTCCCCCTCCGCCGCCTCCTCCTGCCCCTTCGCCTCCCTCTCCATCCCCCATCGCTCTATCCAAGAGAAACGTCTCCTGACCCGGCTGCTGATGCTCCTCTTCCTCCTCCTCCTCCTCCTTCTCCTCCTCCTTCTCTTCCTCCTCCTCCTCCTCCTCCTCTTCCTCCTTCTCTTCCTCCTCCTCAGCTTCCTCCTCTGGCACGCTTATCCTGTCCCTGCTCCGCCTGCTGCACCTCCTGAGCCTCTTCCTCCCTTCTCCCGCCCAGGCTCCCCTCCTCCACCTCCTTCCCCCCCATCACCTATCCCTTCTCTCCACCTCCTCCTCGTCCCCCAGACACCCCCGCCCTTCCCGCCTCTCTCCCCTCCGCTCTCCTCCTCCTCCTCCTCCTCCTCCTCCTCCTCCTCCTCCTCCTCCTCCTCTTACCTCCTCCTCCTCCTCCTTCTCCTCCTCCCCTTACCTCCCTCGCACCCAGCCCGCCTCCACCAGCCGTGCTCCTGCTCAAGGTGCTCCTGCTCAAGTCCAGCCCGTCCCCCGCGGCCAGAGCACGCCACCACGGGGCCTGCCAGGTCCGCGAACCAGTGGACGAAATAGAAGGCAATGTCGCTGGAGGATGCCTCCGTCTGACTCGCTGTCGCCCCGTCGCCGTCGACGCCGTCGTCGCTGTTGCTGTCGCCGTTACTGTTGCCGTCGCTACTGTCGTCGTCGTGGCCAGACGAGGAAAGAGGGGGAAAATGAGAGGGAAGGGGGCAGAGGGAGTAGGATGGAAGAGGCGGAGGAGGATGGATGATGATGAGGGAGAGGGGGTGGGGAAGAGGAGGGGTGAGAGGGAGGAGGGAGTAGGATGAAGGAGCGAGAGGGATCAGGACACGGAAGGAGGGAGATGGGAGGGCGGGGAGCAGGGATGGAGGAGAACGAGAACGGTGTCGAGGAGGCTGAAGAGGAGGCGGGACAAGGTATGGGAGATTCCTCTCGCATTCTCCCCCTTCCGCCCACTCCCTCCTGGATGGACAGAAAAAGACGAATCGAATTCCTCTGTGCGAAACGGATTGCGGGCCCGTTTAGACGATGCGTAGCGCCCTGGTCAGCTAAGAGATGCTTCTCTCGCGAACGCTTAGACCAGTAATTCTACAAATCAGACACTCGCTGCCGAACCGCTGCACAAACGCTGAAGGGACTCGGGGCAACTGGGGACACGCACTGGGAACACACATAGGCGAGACGTCCTGGAGAGGCATTCTGGAAGAGACGCAGTGGAGAGGAGCACGACCCTGAGAGCTTACCGTCGTGGAGGCGTGCCGGGGAGTTGCTCTACAGAGGCATGCTGGGGAAGCGCACTGGGGAGCGTTCGAGACGCATCGGGGAGATGTGCAGGAGGCACGTCCGTTAACCTTGTTACCGCAAGCGCGTCTCCTGCCCCCACGCAGAGTATTAGGGGACTCGGCCTCTCCTGCGGCCGCCGCACCCTCCGCCTCCGCGGCCTCCGCCGTCACATCCGCCGCTGCAGACGGCGACGACGGCGACGGCCAAGACCTCCAGCTGAATCCAAGGAGGTCTCTGGTTGCCTCTGGGGGTCCCCGAGGGATCCGCGGGGGCCCTCGGCGCCACAGCCGCACAGAGCGCGTGCAAAATCTGTACTGTGGCGCTCCTCTTGCTCGTCCATCCTCCCCCTCCTCCTCCTCCTCCTGCTCCTGCTCCTCCTCCTCCTCCTCCTCCTCCTCCTCCTCCTCCTCCTCCTCCTCCTCCCCCTCGGCGACGACGACGACGACGCGCCTTTCCAGAGATGATGACCTCGCGGAAGGCCTTGAACAGGGCACCCGGTGGCGCCTGCAGCCACGAGACGAGGTGGGGGGGGGTGGGGAGAGAGGGGCAGGCAAGGAGGGCCAGGAAGAAGGTTAACCTCTTCGTCGTCGTCTCCTCCTCCTCCTCCTCCTCCTCCTCCTCCTCCTCCTCCTCCTCCCCTTCCTTCTCTTCCTCCTCCTCCTTCTCCTCCTGCTCCTCCTTCTCCTCCTCCCTCCTTCTCCCTCACAGCCAAGTTCTGGTGCACAGTACACACGTCGCATCCAAGCCTCATGCCTCTTTCCTGGTTTCTGATTCGTCAGCACTGTTGAGCACCTCCCCTCGTCTCTTTCACTCATCGACATCGTCGCATTACCGACGACGACGATCCCTGCCCGTGGCGCGTCCGCTGGACGCGACGGCGGCCTTGCCCGCCGCGCCACCAATGACCGCCACCCAGGAGGCTGGGGCGGCAGCGGAGAAAGGGAGAGGCGGGAAGGAGTCTCGGTCATACAATCCGACTTCACCACAAAAAAGCTCACAACTGGTGCGCCCCTGGCCGGGGTGGTTGGTTGGGGTCGCGGTGTTTCTGTCTGTCCGCCGTTGGGCAGGGCGGCATGCGAGCATTGCCAACACTGTGATTTAAGAACCTTGCTCCACCCGTGGCCCACATTGAAGGGTCCCCAGGCGGAGCTGTGGTTCTCGACGTTCCCTCCTGCCGATCCGATCCGATCCGATCCGATCCTCCGTCTCGCGGTAGCGCGTTGCCGCGCGGGCGCGCGGTAGCGCGGAGAGGGAGGGGGGGAGTAGGGAGAAGGAAAGCGAGGAGGGATAACGGGGGAGGGAGGGAGGGCATGTACCAGGATGGAGAGATGTCGAGGTATGAAGGAGGGGGGAGGATGATCAGGATGGCTGGATGAGACGTGAGGTAGAATGAGGGCGAGAAAAGGAGGAGGGGGATGTATTTCGATGGATCGAGGAGGTGGAATGAACACGGATGAAAGAGGAAGAGGGAAGAACGGGCAAAGGAGGAGAACAGGGAGGGGGAGGAAGACCGAAGACAGATTTCTGGGGGGAAACTATGCTCATCAGCGTCCTCCGCCTCCCAGGCGGTCCACGGGTCCACGAGTGGCCCTCAGAAGCTGCCTTCCGCAGTTTGGGGACGTCTCGGCTGCACGTAAAAGTGTGACCCTAAGGAAAAGTGACCTTCGGTGCTTGATTTTCGGGGGCCGCGGGAAGGCCGAACAGGAGTGCGCAAGCCGCTGCTATGGCACCGCATCCAGCCATCTGCGGACACAACTGTGCTCGCACCAATGGTCACTCCCGCGAAAGGTCACTCTGACGTCTGGCCGAGAATCGTCGTGAGCGGAATGTCGCGGATCGGCTTGCACCGGCTACTCCGGATCTCATAACAATGGGGGGGGGTCTGCTTTTTGGAGGGGTCTAACGGGCTTCGTCAAACACAATTGTGGGGGGGTCTCGATTTTGGACCCTTTGTTGCCTGTCTGGGGGGGCTCTACTTGGAGGGGGTCCCAGACCGGCCGTCAAACACTTTTTTGACCCCCACCCCCTAATTATGAGATTTGGAGTACCGATCAACCAACCCAATCCTTGCCAGTCTGGTCAGCAAAGAATGGCCCGTAACTTCTGAGAATCTGCTTCCACCATGTCGATCGCTCAGTCGAGCCTGGTGCGGGACCTCTCCAAGCACCCGGTTGCACAGCTCGCCGGGCCTGGTCGGGCGCGGCGGCGGCCTCGATCCAAGACCCCAGCGGCTTGGGCGGAGACCAACGCGCACATTGCTTCACACGCGTGCCGCGCACGACACGAGCATCGAGCTCGAGATGCGCCGTCCTGGCGGAGGCGCCCCTCACCAGGAATGATACTGCTCACTCCCCAGGTTCACCCTGCGTGTGCTCTCCCCGACTCTTCCCTTGGAGGCCTCCTAGATAAGGGGCCGAGTAGATGGGGTCAGAAGATCGCCCCGCATCGCTGATGCATCGCCAATGCATCATCGATGCATCGGCGATGCGTCGGCGCCGTCCGCGATGCATCGCCGACTCACCGCCGACGTCGCAACGGGCTCCACATCGAGCCGCCTCGCCGATGCACCGGCGATGCGGGGTGATCCTCCGACCCCATCTGCTCGGACCCGATCCAGGAAGCCTCGACCGACTCATCCCTGCGCCCACCATCCGCAAGTCCGCCCCGGTGTGATGATGGGCCTGTTGTCCACCACCGCCACCACCACCACCACCATAAGTTGGAGGGGGAGGGGGTCCTCCTCCTCCTCCTCCTCCTCCTCGTCCTCCTCCTCCTCCTCATCCTCCTCCTCCTCCTCCTTCCCCCCTTCAACTTATGTTGGTGGTGGTGGAAAACAAGCCCATCACACCACGTTTCCTGCCGAGCTCGCCGTGGAAGTGAGCGGGGCCACCCGAACGCGGCCTGGGGCGGGCGCTCCGGCCGCGAGCGGGGCGCAGTGCGGCTGCACGGGGGCCGTGCAGGGCGCGAGGAACGCACGTGGCGTGCACGAGCACCTCTCTCGCTCCTGTCCGCGTCTGCGCAGGTGGTGGGTGACTACTACTTCTTTTTCTTCTTCCTCGTTTTGATTATGATTGCTATTATGATTGTGTTTCTTCTGAGTGGTCTTCTCTTTCCAGCCTTCCTTTGCTTGGGCCCTCGCCTCGAACAGAGGATGTGTGCTACCTTTCCTCTCTGCCTTGCCTGCCCTCTTCTCGATCCCTCTCCTCTTGTCTCCGCTTGCTCTCGTCGACCCTGCCTTCTCGGGAGCGGCCAAGAGGGGGGTGTCCAAGAGGGGGGGGGTGCAAATCATGACCAGCGGCATGTGCGCGGCCCAGCGGGGAGGCCAGGGACGTAATGAAACAAGAAGGGGCGCCATGAAATCTGGGGAAATATCATGGCCCGCGCCATGATATCCACCCCCCCTAGTCATCACCCCCCTCTTTTCCGCCCCCGACCTTCTCCCCAGCCTCGCCGAGCTCCAGCCAGTGCAGGACGTTCGGCAATCCGACCCGCGCCAGGTGGTGTGATGGGCCTGTTTTCCACCACCACCACCATAAGTTGAAGGGGGGAAAAAGAAGGAGGAGGAGGAGAAGGAGGAGGACGAGGAGGAGGAGGAGGACCCCCTTCTCCCCAGCCCTCGCCGAGCTCCAGCCAGGGCTTTCGGCAGTCCGACCCGCGCCAAACCTGTCCCTCCACCACGGAAGACTGGGGATCCCCGGTGGGAGCTCCCGAGAACGAGGGCCCCGCAGGACGGGAGCGTCCGACAGACCCAGTCTGAAGTCCGGCGTGTCCCCCTACAGGGGGACTTGCGACGGATTTTTTTTTAATGCCCAAACAAATGGCCAACAAAATACTCAAATTATCCCAGTGCGACCCTACCTAGGAGTTGGAGCCCCTAGGAAAGCAGCATTAGTAGTAACAGTAAAGCTAAGCTAAAGCTAAGCTAACGCTAAGCTAAAGCTAAGCTGAAGCTGAGCTAAAGCTAAGCTAAAGCTAAGCTACGGCTAAGCTAACACTAAGCTAATGCTAAGCTAAAGCTAAGCTGGCGCTAAGCAAAAGCTAAGCTAACGCTAAGCTAAAGCTAAGCTAAAACTAAAGCTAACGATAAGCTAAAGCTAAGCTAACGCTAAAGCTGAAGCTAAAGCTAACGCTAAGCTAAAGCTAAGCTAACTAAGATGAAGCTAAGCGAAAGCTAAGCTAAAGCTGAGCTAAGGCTAAGCTCAAGCTACGCTAAAGCTAAGCTAAAGCTAAGCTGAAGCTAAGCTAAAGCTAAGCTAAAGCTACGCTAAATCTAAGCTAAAGCTAAGCTAACGCTAAGCTACAGCTAAGCTAAAGCTAAGCTAAAGCTAAGCTAAAGCTGAAGCTAAAGCTAAGCTACATCTAAGCTAACGCTAAGCTAACACTAAGCTAAAGCTAAGCTAACACTAAGCTGAAGCTATGGTAAAGCTAAGCTAAACCTAAGCTAAAGCTAAGCTAAATATAAGCTAAAACTAAGCTAACACTAAGCTGAAGCTAAGCTAAAGCTAAGCTAACGCTAAGCTAAATCTAAGCTAAAACTAAGCTAACGCTACGCTAAGGCTAAGCTAAATCTAAGATGAAGCTAAGCTAAAGCTAAGCTGAAGCTAAGCTAAAGCTAAGTTAAAGCTAAGCTAACGCTAAGCTAACACTAAGCTGAAGCTAAGCTAAAGCTAAGCTAAAGCTAAGCTAAAGCTAAGCTAAAGGTAAGCTAAAGGTAAGCTAAAGCTAAGCTAACACTAAGCTAAAGCTAAGCTAAAGCTAAGCTAAAGCTAAAGCTAAAGCTAAGCTAAAGCTAAAGCTAAGGCTAAAGCTCCCAGGGGACTGGGGGAACCGCGGGGCGGGGACTGGGGGAACCGCCCGGGGCGGTTAGAATTGCCCGGCCCTTTAAGCAAAGAGAGTAAGAACCCTTCTAGGCAGAGCCTAGGTATGGAAACATACTCCCCCGACCATTTGTTTACTATTCTTGGATATCCCCCCTGCTATCTTTACTAATTTTGGATGTTTATTATGTTTACGCAAAATTGCTCCAAAATGCGCAAATAATATTAAACTGAGCAAAACATGCTATACAAGATAGTCCCCCGACTACGTTTGTTTCATATGTTTTTGATCATCTTGTTTTTTTGGATACTTGTAAGAAAAAATACTCAAAACATAGTCCCCCGACTATTTTTATACTATTCTTGGACATCCCCCCCTGTAGAGAGACAGGCTCGTTCTCAACCTGGTCGGTGGCGCGCCCGGAAGCTCTCTGCGGCCGTGGGCCGCCGCGCGCTCTCCGGCACGCGCTGCCCCGGAGCCGGCGTGCGCGGAGCCCGCGGCTGGCCGCGCCGCGGCTCCCGAGAGGGGGGCCCTGCCCGGCTGCCGCAGGGCAGGAGGCCGGCTGCCGTCCACCGGCGGCGCCGGGCCAGGCGGGGGCCCGAAGCGGGCACGCAGGTGGGGAAGAGGAGGGAGGAGGAGGCGGAGGAGGAGGAGGCGGAGGAGGAGGAGGAGGAGGAGGAGGAGGAGGAGGAGGAGGAGGAGGAGGTGGGGCGTGGCCTGGAGGCGCAGCGAGTGCCATTCACCTACCTCTGAGCCCACATTTCTGGCTGTGGGCTCGGAGGAGAGGAGGAGGAGGAGGAGGAGGAGGTGGAGGGGGAGGAGGATAAGGAGAAGGAAGATAAGCAAGGGCGCTGTGCGACTATCCCCTGCGGCCCAGGCGGGCCACACACGCAAACAGAAACCACACCGGCGAGGCAGGAGAGGGGAAGGAGGACGGGGCGAGGAACGGCGGTGATGGAGGGACGGGGCGAAACAACTCGTCGCCCGTGACTGGGGAAGCCAAAAAGTACGAACACCGCTGCTCTGACCTCTCCCGGGGTGCGTTCTGACCAGGATTTCGAAGCGAATCCAGCGGTGGCAACGAGGGCTTCCCACGAGGCTCAAAAATGGGTAATCTGCCGAAGGGCAGAGACGTGGGTACCTTTTCCTCCTCTGAGGTTCGGGCGTTCGTTCGCCCCAGTTGCAAGGAGTAGAGCCCGTGAGGAGCGGGAGCCCCCCACAACCAAAATGTCCGAGACGGGTTATCGCGGAGTCGGTGCGCGGACTGGCTATCGCGGAAAGATGGGCGCACACCGCTGGAGTGAGGGAGGAGTGAGGGAGGAGGAGGAGGAGGAGGAGGAGGAGGAGGAGGAGGAGGAGGGGGAGGGGGAGGGAGAGCGAAAGATCGAGAAGGAAAGAGAGAGAGAGAGAGAAAGAGAGAGAGAGATATTGATGGGGATACACACAGACGCAGCACATAACAGCAAGGCACCAAGAGTCCGAGGAGACCTGCATGCCCGAGATGACCTCATCGCGCGATGCGCCACCACACAGGGGAGCTGAGCACACTGGAGGTTGAGGGCGACGAGGAGGAAACAGGGCGGACAAGCAGGATGAGAGGTATGAGGAGGAGGAGGAGGAGGAGGAGGAGGAGGAGGAGGAGACACCGCAGCCACAGGAGCACGAGCAGGCGAACAGGGAGGAGCAGGGCGGACGAGCAGGAACGAGCAGGCGAACGAGCAGGCGAACAGGCGAACAGGGAAAAGAACTATGCACATGCACCGATTCTGGCCAGGCCCATCCTGAGCCCAGGATCGGTGCATACGCCCTCCTAACTTGGCCAGGAAGGCATATGCACCGATCCTGGGTCAAAAATGGGCCTTGCCAGGATCGGTGCATGTGCACAGTTCTCTTCGCCCGAAATGTCGGGGCGTTGACCTAAGGAACCCTAAAGAAGGAGCGAGGCCCCTTTTACCATAAGTTGAACTTCGATTTCCCATCGGAAACATAAGGAAAACCCGAGGCAAGCTGTGGAACAATTGAGGAGCACGGAGCCCCTCCCCAACGAAAAGGGTTCCTTCTTCAGGGACCCGACTGTAGGAAGACAACGCCGATCCTCAGGGCCCCGTCAGCCCGGACACGGCAGACCAGGAAAAACACGGCATCCTTCGAAACGACTTGTTCCAGAGTGCGGCACACGAGAACAAAAAGCTGCACTGCGACACTTCTGGAAGAGAGCCGGACACAGGCCCTCAAAAAGCATGCAGAGAACGCCCTGTAGACCGGGACAGAGGACCTGAAGCCTGCAGAGCAGCAGCAAGAAACTGCACTGGACGACTAGACCCGACTTTTTGCAGGAGAGGGTGCTGCTTCCCCGGCGTGCCTCTGTCCTGGTTTGTCTGTGTCCTGGTCTCCAGGGGCCCGGGATCCTGCCCAGTGGCCAGCGCCGGTGCGGGAGCTCCTTTCGACCAGGGACGCTCTGACGGAGGACGCACTAGCGAGCACCCACTCGAGATCAATACTGCGCGGTGAAAGCAAGATCGTGAGAAGATGAACGCGGCATCCGGGGAGAGAGACAGGATAGCCGTACTCGTCTGGAGTATCTGCTGATGAAGGAACAAGCATATTCGTACACACACACACACACACTGTGTATATATATATATATTACGTATGTAGGTGTACATCCATGAATAAGTGTATATATATACATACATATAGGTGCACATGTATATCGAGAGAGAGAGCAGGAGAGAGAGAGAGAGAGAGAGAACACTATGTAATATAACGAGAGCGAGAGAGAAAGGAGACAGAACGGAAGAGAGAGGGGGAGGTATGGAACCACGCAGGCAGACGCAACACACATGTTTAGCCACACGCGCACGCAGACTGAGCATGTGCAGAGGGACGGGAAGAGAGAGAGAGAGAGAGGGCGAGAGAAAGAGGGAGATGTGAAGAGATAACGAGACAGATAACGAGACAGATAAAGGGGGGATCTATACATACATACATACATACATACATATATATATATATATATGTATATAGACAATTCAGACGAATATTGTTTTTATATATATATATATATATATATATACATTCCATGTCTGTAAACGTACATTCACATACGGAAAACGTACACGTCCCATAGGCTAATGAAACAACAGCGTTCGCCACGTATGGAAATAAACAGAGACAGAGAGGGCGAGAGGGAGGAAAGGGATGCAGCGACAAAGAGAGAAAGAGAGAGAGAGAGAGAGAAACAGAAAAAAGAGAGAGAGAGGGAGAGACAAGAGAGAGAGAGAGAGAGACAGAGGGAACGACGTCGACAGAGGGAGAGAGAGAGGGAGAGAGAGAGAGAGAGGAAGAGAGAGAGAGAGAGAGAGACACACACACACACGGAGCGTGAGAGAGAGAGAAAGAACAACAACGATCAAGGGAGAGAGAGAGAGAGAGAGAGAGGTTGCCCGACGGTGCTCATGACGTGTATGTGTGTATACACATATATCAAGAGGGCGAAATCGTCTAAGAGAGAGAGAGGGAGAGAGAAAGAACGAGAGAGAAAGAGAGGTGCAGGGGGACGAGCCAGGGAGCCAGCACGACGAGAATATCCAGCCTCACCCTGCACGAGCCAGCCGAAGTTGTAGTCAAGCTTGCAGTGTGTGAATTTGAGGGAGTCCTGCTGCTCCTGTCAGATGCTGCCAGCAAGAGGCGATTGATCACCAGGGGGCGATGAAGGAGGAATCTGATCGAGGGCGTCTGGGTGGGGGGGGGGGGGGGGGGGGGGGGGGGCGCAAATCATGACTGGCGGCATGTGCGCGGCCCAGGGGGGGCCGGGGACGTATTGAAATGAGAAGAGGCGCCATCAAACCTGGGGAGATATCATGGCCCCTGCCATGATCTCCACCCCCCCTTAGTCATCACCTCTTTCTTTGCCGCCCCCGAGATGAGGAAGGGCAAGCGGAGGAGGAACTGAAGCTGCAGAGGGGCGGCGACGAGGGGTAGTCGAAGATGAGGGTGAGGACGTGGCAGAGGAGGACGACGAAGACGATGATGAAGATGATGACACGCACATTGATGTCAATGAGCTGGGGAAGAAGGGGTCGGGGAGAGGGAGATGCATGGAAGACGAAATACAGAAGACATAGCGAATGCCGACGAAGCGCGAACGACTACCAAGTCACTACCAATATCCGGGAGAGGTTGGCAGGAAACGAATGTTTGAGCTGTACTGCTGATGACGCGGCTGCAGAGGTCTCTTTCTCCTCCACCAGCTCCTCATCGCCTTGGGGTCGTACTGTCGCTGCCCCTCATGTCCGTTCCCCTGCGCCTCCGTCTGGCTCTGCCGCAGGCCCTGGGTATGCGTGCTGCTGGTCCTTCTTATGCTGCTGATGCTTCTTGAACTCGTCCACCTTCTCTTCTGATGCTGCTGCTGCTGCTGATGCTCCTGCTCCTCCTCATTATTCTGCTGCTCCTCCGCCATGATCCGCTTTCTCGACCTCGAGCCCGGGTGGGAAGTCAGAAGGAGTGGGCCAGCTCAGAAGGCTCCGAAGTCCCCCGGCCCTCTGAGAAGTTCCCTAAGCCTTCCCCGAAGACGCAGAAGACCACTCGGAAGGCGCGAGGGCTTCCGAGAACTCCCGCCGCCTTCTGGGAAGGCCTTCTCAGTCTCACATCCCCCCCTTGCTCGCCGCCGACTTTCAATCTTCCCCCCCATCCGGGCCCTGTCCTTCGACTGCGGCCTTGCGTTGGGTGTGGGCGACTCCGCGCCAGGGTCCGGGCTGCAGGAGGCCCCCTGCTCCGTACACCCTGCGAAATGCTTAAGAAATCATGGGTTAAGAAACTCATAGTCTCAGAACTTGAATAAAAACCCAACAGTTCTATTGAAAATCTTGGGATTTACATTGAAACATTAAGAATAATCGAGACTCTGGTCGAAAACTTAGGTTTTCTTAAGCATCGCCTAAGGTGTAGGGGTCGTTCTCGAACGGGGCGCGCAAAGACGTACTACTGTGTGTCCTCCTCGGAGGCGCGCGTCCGACCCGGCCATGTAGTATATCCACCCTGTAACATGTCGTTTCCCGAGCGGTGTGGCCCGAAACCGCCCCCCCACGGAGCATGTACCATAAGATTTCTCGGCGCGCCCGTCGCCCCTGAGGGGGCGACGCACACATAGCATTAGTATGCTGAGGTGACGCCGATGAAGAGCCGTTCAGGGCATCGGTGCATGATCCCCAGGGAGGAGAAATTCCCCTCCCCCTACATCCCTGCAGGGATGTATCTTCATTTCGGGAAGTGCTCCATGGAAAGACAATACTATGATAATCCTCAATTGCATCAAAACGCCAATCCTTGGGACTTCGACGCCGCACTTCAACTTGAGTGTTGCGTCCTGAGGCTCCTAGCTCGTTCCAGATCAATGATCCTGCACCTTGAACCCTGCAATTCCTTTCAACGGTTGCAAGCTTGTAGAGAGAATGTCCAAGGTGCTTCGACGAAAACCACATTTCAAAAACGAGCTGGCCTCCATTCATGAGACTGCTCTATGCTTGTAAAGCGAGAAACACATGTTGAAAGTTACCTGTTGGAAGATCTGAACACACATGTGCGCGGCGCGAAGGGGAGAGTCGCACATTGAAATCAACTCCCTTCCATGCCTGGAACTGTTGCAGATTCCAAGCTTCAGGGTCATAAGAATCTAGGAAGTCTCGGGCGAAACAACCGGCCCGACCTACGGACACGTCTGGGGATGCGACACGGAGGAGTTAGTTAGCAGGAAAAGGGAAGGAGGATGAGGGTGGAGGCTTGACCCAACAAGAAAACCGAGAGGAGGGAGGACGATGCCAGCCACGGGATGACACACGGGGGTCTGCCCCCCTCGCTGCCAGCCGCAAAGTCTCCTCTGACCTCTGGGCTACCGGCCTCGAGCTAGGGTGGTCAATGGGGAGGAGGAGCGCAAGCAGCACGATGCGCTGCACGAAGCACGAGGAGGAGATTCTTTAAAGGACCAGGGAAGGAGGAGGAGGAGAAGGAGGAGGAGGAGGGGCAAGGGGGTCATTGCGGGAGGAGGAGGAGGAGGAAAACCATTGGAGGACCAGGGAAAAGGAGAACGGTGCGCAGCAGGAAGGAGGAGGAGGAGGAGGAGGAGGAGAAAGAGGAGAAAGAGGAGGAGGAGGAGGAGGAGAAAGAGGAGAAAGAAAGAGGAGGAGGAGGAGGAGGAGGAAGAGGAGGAGGAGGAGGAGGAGGGGGGGGGAGGGGGAGGGAGGAGGAGGAGGAGGAGGGAGGAGGAGGAGGAGGAAGGGCCAAGGGGAGGGGAGGCAGGACGAGAGGACGGACGAGGGCGGGACGACCGTGACCGCGACCGAGGGGGGGACGGCGGCCTTCGGCAGCCCGTAGAACGAGGGGAGCGCGCTGGGGCAGTGCTCGAGCACGTAGCTCAGGGCGATGTCGTGGTCCTGCACGGCGCGCGAGGGGCGGCCGGCGTGATCGTGGCCGTTGTCGTGCTCGTGCTCGCCGCCGCCGTCTTCGACGTTAACTATGGTGGTCGCCGTCTTGCTCTCCTTGTCATGATCTCCTCTGCTTCGTCGTCGTCGTCCTCCTCCTCCTCCTGCGACACCTCCTTCTCGATCTCTTCCTCTCCTCCTTCTGCTTCTGCTCTGGCCTCTGATCCCTCCCTGCCTCTGAAACTCCCTCTCCTCCTCCTCCTCCTCCTTCTCCTCCGCCTTCCCCCCTCCTTTTTTATGTGTCCCCCCCATTATCCCCATCTTTTTCAATTGGCTCCTCCTCCTCATTCTCCTCCTCGTCACCAACCTCCTCATCATCTTTGGCATTCTGCTCACGCCTGCCTCCTTCCCTTTTCCTCGCCTTGCCCCCTCCTCTCTATCAACTCGTTCCGCCTCCTCTTCTTGCTCCTCGTCATAACATCCGCTCTTGCTCCTTCTCCTTCTCTCTCCCCCTCCTCCTCCTCCTCTTCCTAATTCCCCTCCTCCTCCCTCTCGCACTTCTCTATTCTGTCCCTCCACCTGCTCCCGGGACGCCGAAGGGCCTGAAGACTTGCGGGGAGACGCCATGTTTTGCTGAGGGCGAGGGGGGGAGGGAGGGGGCATTCTTCTTCTTCTCCTCCTCCTCCTCCTCCTCTTCCTCCTCCTCCTCGTGTTCATCATCCGCCTCGTCTTCCTCTCCCTCTTCCTCCTTCTCCTCCTCCTCCTCCTCCGCCTCCTCATCCTCCTCTACCTCCTTGCGTTCCTCGCCCTCCTCCTGCTCTTCTTGTTCCTCCTCCTCCTCCTCCTCCTCCTCCTCCTCCTCCTCCTCCTCCTCCCGCCTAGTTTTCACTCCTCACTCTGTCAGCATCGTTTTTTTCTCCTCCCCCCTCCAACTCCAACAGCTCCTCCAGCTCCTCCTTCCTCATTCTCCTCCTCCCTCCTCCCTCTTCCTTATCGAGCCGCCATGCCGGCTCGAGGGGCCCCTGGGTGCGGTTACAAGGTAACCGCGCGCCCCTCCTCGGGAAGGCTGCCAGACGCGCCCCTGGCTCAGCCGCCGCCGCCGCCATAGTGCTGCCGCGCCGCGAACGCCCAGGTGGCCGTGACCACGCAGGACGACAGGGCGAGCCGTCCTGGCACAGACGGCTACGAGCACAGCGTGGACGGGCAAGGGTGCTCGTCCGCCTGGCCGCAGCCCGACGACTACTTTCGCAGCACCACAGTGCAATGCGGCCGCAGGGCACCCCTCCGCCTTGGGCAGCCGCCAGTGCTCATGCCCCAGGAGGCAAAGGAGCGGCCAACAGCAGCAAGGGAGAGCCCCCTACGCAGTCAGCACAGCATGGAGCCGGACGTGCAGATGGTTCCTGGTGTTGCTCAGCTTGCGGCACATACAACTGGCCAAGTCAGAAGATATGTTCATGGTGCTTCCCGCCCCAGCAGAGCGCCCGCAGGTCCAGAGACAAGCCCAGATCCAAGACCCCCAGCAGGAAGAGGGATCAGAAGGCAACTTCCGATGCCCCAGCACTTGCCGCCACGGGGAATGCTACTGCCTCTTCGGTGAGCATCCCCCCCGCATCAGCGGAGGCGGCCAGGGCGCACCCGAGCTGGGTGGATCCACCTACCGACGTGAAGGATTTGGCCAACCATCGGACCACCCTGAAGAGTTCGTTGAAGGCACTCGAGCAGCAATTGACATGTCAAAGATCACTCAACATGAACGGGCAGCGCGTGCAGATGCTGGAGTTAGAGTACGCCACCATCCTGTACATGTACATCGCAGCGCAGCCCCCGCGGGAACGCACCAACCACCAAGTCATGCACCTCGAGCGAGCTCGCGCTCGCTTGCAGACAGCAGCAGAGACCGAGTCCGAGGCCAAGGCGCAGCTCGCCAAGGCCACTTCAGCACGCATCGCGCTGGAAAAGGACGTGGGGCAGGCAGAGGTGTTGCTAGAGACGTTCAAGACACAGCAGGCCGAAGCCGAACAAGCCGAAGCGCAAGCTGCCGCCCAGAAGAGGACGGTCACCTTCGGCGGAGACGGAGACGCAGAAATGACACAATCGCCATTTTCACCAGCTGCAAGCCCTCCATCGACTGCAGCACAGCCACCAGGGCAATTCAGTCCAGGGGCCATGGCGACGTCACCGTTTGCGCCATCACCATATACGCAGATGATGGCAATGCCAGCTCATGGCCCCTCAGTCATACATCAACTTCAGCAAGGACATGCTACGCTCACAGGCCAGTTGGCCACATTGACCACGCAGTTCGCAGCGCTGCAATCATCTCTGAGCGCAGTGACCGCCGGCTTGCAGCATCAGACTCAAGCCGACGCAGCATGCACCGGCAGCAACGTGGACAAGGGCGCTACAGCGGCGAGAGACGCCACCCGAGGCGCAACCGCCAGTGGCACGGGGCAGGCCCCCGCGAATGCCCCCCCAGCCCAGCAGCCCCATGCAGGAACGCCACGGCAACACGCTGCTGCCGCCGCCGCTGGAGGCCCACTGGCGGGCCTCGGCCGGGCTCCACCGCAGCACATGCCTGCTGGGCAGAGGGCCGCAGGGCGAGCCTTTGCGAAGCCGCCGCCGCCAGGCCAGCTCCCCCTTCAGTGGGGCCCCGCCCGAGGCGTCCAGACCGCCGACGGAGCGGAGGTCCCAGCTGGCGAGCACGACGAGGACGACCTGCCCAATATCTCGGCAGAGGAACGAGCTGCTGCAGTAGCCCTGGGAGTGTTAGCACCGCCAGATCCACCCGCCGCGCCTCGCAAGAGGCCCGAGGAGGACACGACGCCCGAGGACGCACCAGCCCACAAGTTGCAGACGTTGCCGTACGAGGAAGAACCGCCTACACCACCATCGGGAACGACCGCCCCAGGCACAGGCCCCTTCCTATCGCAAGCAGAAGCCGTTTTTCGTGCAGCGGAGGAGAGTTGAGGAACGACGAGCTGCCTGAGCAGCCCGCCAGCTTCGGCATGCAGGACCTCTCTCCTCTGGAGTACCAGATATCGGATCAGGGGTGCCCTACACCCCCTGACGTCCCCTGGGATGAACACGCCTTCCTCAGAGGATGCGATCGGTCCCCTCTCCCACACACCACGGCACTTGCTGGCATGCTCCAGCTGCCTTGGGAGGCCCAGCTCGATCGGGACATCCTGGGCCTATCGCAATATCTACGCTCATCCACTGTTTCGGCCCTTTCAGGTCTCTCTACCCTGCAGGACTGATCCGAATGGGCTTCACTTGAGATTTATACAGACGGATCTGGCGGCGGCAGCATGTATCCACCAGGTGCCAGCGTCCCCGAAGGAGCTCCTCGCACGGGTCCCCCCAGTTGGGCGCTCGTGGTTCCGGTTACCGACTCCACGGGGGACCAGGCTCTATTGGGTTACGCTGCGCAGAGCTTTGATCCTGGAGGTATTTCGAACTACCTGGTTTCGTTCCTGGCTGAGATTCTCGCCGCTCGATGGGCTCTCGCTTGGGTCCTTCAATATGGGCATGTTCCCCTGGCCATATCAGTCTTTGGGGGCAATCTGGGAGCCTTGGACGTTATGCGAGCGGGAGCCATCTATGGAGCTCTGGAGGCCCATCGCCGCGTGCTCAACGGCTTGCCTCTCCTAGTCCAGGCTCGTTTCCATCGGTTTTCGGTGTCGCATATTGCAGGACACTCAGCGCAGCCATGGAATGAGCTCGCCGATACCCTGTGCAGAGATGTTTCACTCCAGTATCTAGCGCCCACGGCCCTCCCAGATCAATGGCAGGAGGCTTGCCGGATGGACATGTGCAGTTTAGCATGGGCTTGGCTGGGCGCACAACCCATCTCCGTAAGAGCGCAATACCCACCAGCAGCAGGATATCACTTACACGACAGTTATCCTGCGTTTTTTTTTTTGTTTTTCATCAGCTTGCAGATCTTCAGCCGCAGCCCAGGGGACCTGGCGCGGATGAGAGGCCAGGCGATGATGCTTGTATGGGCCCCACTACCAGGTCCACGCGCATGATTACGGCCAACGTTCTCACTTTGGACCCCAAGGCCGCACGACAGAAACGAGTTTCAGGACTTTACCTCCCTGGGCGTATGGCGTATCTGGCTTCTGTCTTCAAGCGGTCCCAGGTTTCCTTGGCGGGCACTAATGAAACGCGCTACCCCAGGAACGGGTGCACCAACACGGGGGAATGCCTCGTCTTACACGCCGGAGCTGATCCGCATCGCCGCTTTGGTTGTTCTCTCTGGGTCAACCTGAGGCTGACATACGCAGACGGCTGCCGCTTAACTGCCAAGCAATGCCGAGTACTGCACGCCAGCCCGAGGTTATTAGTGGTTGCTATTCGAGCTGACGCTCTCCGCTGCAACGTTGTAGTGGGCCATGGGCCACGCAGCGTTACCCAGGCGACGAAGCTGCAGCAATGGTGGTCTGAGACGGGACAGCTCTTGGACAAGCTCCTGGATCCTAGCATACCTGAGGTTCACTTTTGGGACTCCAACGGTACCGTGGGCTCTGTCGCGTCGTCTAGTGTAGGCAGCGTCCACGAGGCCCCCGAGAACAAGACTGGATCGCTCTTTCACGAGATGCTACTCGAAAGGTCGCTCTGGGCCCCCTCCACCTCCCTCCCCTCCTCAGGCCCCCGTTGCGCCACTTGGTATTCACCGCAGCGCCAGGAGGGGAAGAAAGGACGGCGCATCGATTACGTGGTCTCTGTTCACACTCGGTTGCCGTTCAGGACGCTCGGGTGGCGCACGATATAGAGCTGGCCATCACCATCACCGATCATAAGGCAGTCTCGATCATGGCTAAGATACCCATGCAGCAGCAGAGTCCAGCGCAGTATGCTTACCCACGCATCAAGTGCGACGAATCTCTGTTTTTGCGACACGAAGGCGCGGCAACGCTTTCAATATTTGCTTTTGCACGCGCCGCAGCCGGAGTTTTAAGTTCATACTGCTGATCATTGCCAGCAACTTACTACCTACTTGCAGGATG